CATGCTGCTGATGAACACACATCTCCCTAACCTGCAAAGACTTGACCGTGTTGGGCAACCCAGCGACAATAAGATCACATTAATCACATGCTTGCCGCCTCTTAAGCCTTCCGGCAAAGGGATGTGAGGCATCTCGGTGCTACTTAGATGGGCTGGGGCCAATGTTGCAACCAAAGTGTCGGTCAGTACGGCCCCAAAAATGATGCGGCCAGCCCCTTGCCTCCCCTTAACTATTCCACGTTGTTGGGTGCCCAATGCTTCATTGCCCTCTCACATATTGTCCCTGCCTCTATATGCAGATGACAGAATCCAGCCACGGCTTTTCCCGCGTGCAAGGATCAGGAACGCCAAGCAGAAGGAGGCAAAGATCATCCCTGTGATGGCCTGAGTAAATTCGCATCGCTAATGACACAGCTGTCAAACGTGCCCCAAGGTGAAAATGGTTCCCTGAGCTTTGCGTTTTGAAAAGCATTGCGATCCAGGAACCCGTTCGAGGGATTTTTCACCGCGGAGAACAACCTGGCAGTTGCGCATAACCAATAGATCACCGCGGTTTTCCCATGTGACAGCCCCAGCTTTTGACCTTGTGACCCCGTCTGGGCTTAATGTGCTAAGTTCGCGGCCATCATTTGCCGTGTGGCTCCTCCCAAGAGGGAGGCAGAAACGGCGTGGATATTGGCACCGCTGGCGTTCAAGCGGATCCTTGGATGCCGATGAAACAATGCAGCAGTTTGTGCTGCACTTGGCAGAAAGCCACCTGGACCCTCTGGGTTGTACCTTGCAATGCCTGGCTTGATGGAAAGTCATGCGGGAGTTGTGGCAGCCACTTCAGGATAAAGCAATTACGCTGGTCTGGTTGGTGAATGAAGTCTGGAATCCCATCCCAGCTTGAGCTCCAAGCCGGTGGCTTGACAATGGCACATGAATAGTGAGCGGCCGCAAAAGGCGGCCGAAACCTTGTGGGCAAGATGGCCTTGCCATAGTGGAATCCATAAATGTCCGCCCATTAGGACCGAAGATGTACAAAGTCAGCTTGCTGCAAAAATAAAATAGGCTTGTTTCAATTTGGCGCTTCGGGAAAGCGCGGCCACTACTTGCCAGGTTCGCACAGGCTGTGAAAGTGGTGAGGCTTGCACATGAGCGATCGTGGGAGGCGTTTTTTGTTGCTTGCATGAAACTGCATGCAAAAAGCAAGCGAAACCACGCCATCTTCTGCCGAGGGCACATGAAAATGATTGTCCAGCTTTTTAGCAGCACGCAGACCACCATCATAATCAGCTCCTCATTTCATTGCTGCGTTGAAGGCTGCTTTGAGCTCTCCATGCTACCTGGTTTAATAATTCGACAACAACCGCATCATTGGGAGTGTGTTTAAGTTGGCCTATGGAAACCAGGAAGTTCGCCAATAAATCCTGTCTTAGCCCGATAGTGAAGAAGATGACTAGGAAGCAAGCCACACCAAAGCACCTTCCCCTTGCAATACACGGGATCTGAAACACAACTTGAACCAATGATAGTTCACATGCCGACTCAAGAAACAAAATACTCGATGCTGAATCTTAACAACCTTAAACGAGCAATGGAGGCAGCTCCATGCTCCGATCCAATGTGGTGTCACTTGCCCGCCGGAAACCGCGGCTGTAAGTGTCCACAATCTTCATGCGGTGCATCTGAACAATTCGCCATGAATATCGGTCAAGGTTCCATAGTTGGCGGTGGCTTTCATGTTTGTGGGCAGTGCAATCTAGAGTAGATGGGCACACGGTCCCAGCGTCCCTGAGAAACCAGGACCTTCGCCACCCCCTGACATATTGCACCGCCCACTATCCGCCTCAAGCGCACCCAAGCGCAAAAGAGCCGTGTCCCTGCCTGCTCATTCCACTGCTGGCCTGGCTTGCCGTTGGTTTTGGCACCTCGGGGAGCCGAGCATGGATGCAGCTTAACTGAAGCCTGCTACGCCAGGTGAAAGTAGATGCCACAATGGTCCTTCATGTAAGTAAAGGGATCAATGAAACTCATCCACGGCTTGTGTGCGAAACCATACGAAAGGTCGAAAGAACACCACACAGATGCCAATGACTTAGCCCACACACTTTGCTTGTCTCAGACCTAGCAACATGTCGTGTTGCCGCTCCAAACTTTGGCATTGTGCCGATTTAAGAAATCCAACCAGTCACTCCTCAAAAGGGAAAGGAGTCAGGATGCATCCACAGCACCCAGTGCGAAGACCAACTGGACAGCGGCCAGCAGAAGGGAAGGCAGAGCCCAGCTGACAATAGTCCACGACCCCCGCCACATGTTTCCTACGGCAGGCGCGTGAGAGAAGAAAAGGCACGGACACTCAGAAAGGCCCGTTGAGCTTTCAGTTGGAAAGGTCGGCACTTGGAATTGCCAGGGTGACGTTTCAAGGCGTTCAGACCTGCCGTCACACAACACGTTGGATTGTTTGTATTCACTCAAACGGGCTTTCCCAAATTCTCCCACAAAATGCTGATGTGCTCCTCCTTCTGTCAGCTTTCGCACTGACTCAAATGTGGGAGCGTCAATTTCTGGAGTGAAGTATATATACCAGATTTGTGGGTGATCTTCCAGGAAGTCAAGAACCAGCCCAGGTTCTGTGCACCACTCAACCATGCGACCGCCTGCGCAAGAATGAGCCCAGTCGTTCGCTCGCACTCGCCTTGCTAACCAGGTTTTATAGCAATAGCAGCCGGCAATGTTGCCGCTGACTCAGGTGTCCCACAGTTCCTGCCTACTCGCCTTGGGGGAACCATTCTTAGAGTGTCCTGTAATTCTTCATGATAGTATATGCCAGCTGCGCAGTTGACAGTAAGGGATTTGCGCAAGTGGTGTCAGGCAGCGGACGGCCTCAAAGCGCCTGCACAACAATACGCGCCTGTCAACCTACGCGCACCTTTGGCATTCACTCCTGCTGTCACGAAAAAATACACCCCACACAGCGTTGAAATGTGTGAGGACCAAGAAATGGCTTGTTTGAACGTTTGGGCATCATCCCAGGCAACACCTCCACAAATCGGTTGACTGCTCTCGACTTGATTGCCCCTAACAGCTTTGCGCACGCGCGCACGGCCAGCCTCAAAAAGAAATGTGAGTTGAAAGTCAAGCGCCCTGCACGACGCCTTGATTCAATTCGAGGCTGCCAGTTTGGGCGTGGCACGACAAGCGCAAAACTCCAGTGCAAAGGCTGTTGCCAAGACACGGTGAATAATGATGCGATCAATCGCTCTTTCCGCCAAGCATCTCATCAACCGATCTGTGTGTCCTTGAAACTTCTTCAGCCAGTTCACCAACATGATGAGCAGCCTAAGTAAGTTTGGGTCAGAAAAAATACTCTGCAAGAGGACGCAGCCAGTCAGGCACCGTTGCGACTGGCAGGCTCTTCAGCATGTGGGCTGTGGAAAGCAGAATGGGAGTATTTAGAATCCAGAAGGAAGTGAAAGTTTTTTCTGTGGCACTTGCCACATGTTACCAGACAGGCATTGAACAAGCAAGACCTCAAATGTCGCCCAACGTAATTGCAAGAGAGTTTCATTTGCAGCACAACCAGGCGTAACATTCCAATATGCGTGCTTAATCTTCTTAAACATATGATTATATGATGATTCAGAAATGGTGAGCAATTGAAGGTTCGCTGAGGTCAAAGCAGGGGCCTGGATGGTTGCAGTACTTAATGCTCGCTTTGTGTGGCCTCTCCTGATTCCTCATGTGTTCCTCCAGACACGAGCGCGAGGACCGGGAATCAATCTGAACGAATGGTTGACAAGAGCTGCGGCAAACCCTTTTCTGATTTCAATGTTGCTACTCCGCGTATGCATTGACACAACATCCCAGCCTTGGAGAATGCAGAACAAAAATAGTACATAATCATCGTGCGTCTGGAATTTGACGTCATAGGACAGGGTGCTTGCGTAAGCCCCGAGAGTTGCATGCCAGGGCTCTCGAAATCCAACACCGACCCAGAGCGACGGGCGACCTCCCCCGAGCCACTGAAACAGCTCTCGAAAGCTCCCGGCGGCGAGAATTATCCAGCACCTGGCGCGCCAGGTTGACAAGAGCAAGCAACCTCTGCGCGCACATCATGAAGCTGTCAGTTCTGTCCCTCCACGATATGCAACATAATGTCCGGATTATCATGAGTCCACAATTAGTCCCGAATTTGCCGAATGAGGATGCTTCTGCCATGCGAGGCACACAGCCACCCAGGATCTCCCTGCCGCAAGGTATGTCTCTTCCGACAGGCCCCACTGAAGGATCGCCATCAGCTCAACAATCTGAAAGAGCACGTTCAGAGCCCACACCCACCTCAACGTGACAAACTTGAGGACAAAAATGGAACGGCACTATATATACATATACGGGATATTCCACCCTTTCGCTTGCTTCCCATTGAGCCACCAGAAAAATGACGACGTGTTCTGCCTCCACAAACAGGATTCCCACGGTTGCATGTTCCTTTCAGCCACCACGTGATCCCTGAGAAAAAGTCTGCCAAGGCCGAAACCGGGTGGCGAGCTGAAACGTCTACTATGAACCTCAAGCCAAACTATCCGTGAAGATGTGATTCCAAACCCTCTAGCCAATGGCCATGCCATGCCGATGCCATGCCGATGCCATGCCGATGGTCCTCTGAACCAATCCCAATTCTGGCTGAAGCAACCAACGTGCGTCCATTCGGTGGCACCTTCTGAGTTTACAAGAAAACAAAATGGAATCAAGTAGCAAGGAGCGCAAAAAAAGCCTTCTTTTGTGAGTCATGTGGTAGTTGAGAAGCACATACCAAGGGTGAAACCCATCCGGAATCCACTCAAGGATTTGCAACATGGCAACCTGTTTTGAGCCCCATCTCCCTTAAAAATGCCTTTAACCGTGTGCCATTTCCAACAGGGACCCCACTTATGGAGTATATGCGTTCGACGTTTCACACACCCCAACAAAACAAAAGAGGTCAAAAGGGGGTCTTGGGGGGTGGGCTGTTGATGATTGCGTGTTTTGTTTTTGTGTTTTGTGTGTCGTTTGTTTCTTTGCGTCTTTCCTACGTTCTTCTCAAATCTGTTGACCCCGTATTCGATTGAAAAGAGAGTGTTTGGGGAGCTGTTTCATTGTTTTGTTAGAAGTGGGCACTTGGGTAAATGGTTCCCTTGCTCATTGTTGGCCTGGGGAGTGATCTGTTGTTTTTCTTCTTCTTCTTCTTCTTCTTTTGTTTGAAAGAGTTGCCCCTTTTTGTAGTTGTCATTGTCTGGGGTGTTGGGTAAGTGTTGGGTCAGTCATTTGTTTTCTCATTGTTATTATGTTTATTTTCATGGTTTAGCTTGAAATTATAGTATAAGCAAAGGATACAATTGTTTCCTATATCTCATCATATTGAATATGTTGTTCAAAACAAACGGACGAGCTTTGTTATATATATTCATTACATGTTCTATGTGTTATCTTACTTTGTTATTATTGCAATATTCTTGCTACTCGCTTATTGGTTCTTCGGTGCATTCACAGAGCCAGATTTCAACTATGTCCTTTTGTTCTATATTCTCTGTGTCTGAAGTGAAACGATTGTTCAAAGTCGGGCAACCACCAACACCTCCTTTCTCTGAACATGTTTAAAGTCCTGAGGTCGTGGAGGTGTTCTGACATGTGATGGGTGTATCTCCAGTTGCCTTCTATATAATATTTTACAGCCATCAGAAACATGTTGTTTCTTGAGCTCACCTTTGAGCCTTCATTACCTAAGAGTCTGTCTATATAGCTCGTAAATGTATTATATTCGTTATCGATAAATATATGGGCGACTAATCGCACTCTTATAAGAAAAGCACTTGTTACTCTGCTTGTGTAGGGCTTCGGGTAAGAAATCGTCCAGTTGATCGTTTTCTCGTGTCCTTCTGGAATGGGTCTTTACACTTTGAACAGTAGAGGTTGTATTAGCATATTGTGTCGCAAATGCCAGCACGAAAAAGGCTATGTAAGGCGACCTTAGCGTGTGTCATCTCTTTCCTCTGCCTTGCAACACCTAGAGTTGTTGCATTCAAAACACTCTCTCAATATATAAAGCGTGTTTTACTTGAGTAGCTGAGTAGTGTTTCTGCGAGTGGGTCCATTGATGGTCAGTCTGGGTTGAAGGTTTAAATGGAAGTAGAAATACAGTTTACTCATATTATAAGTAAATAAGATCCGTAGCGTACAACCATTCTCCTCTCCATGTTCCTATCCCATCCCACCCGTATTCAATCGTTCGCATTGGTGAGTATCTTCATCAATCGTCTTTGTTTGGCTTTCGCATTGCCCCTGCTAATAAATGATGGTTTAAATTCATCGCTTAGAACTTCCCATTTCTGCTTAACTGTTTTCCACATTCAACAATTACCCCCTTCTCTACTAGGTTTTCGTACATTCGTTCTTATGATATCAAACCTAAAGGCGTGGGAAAGAAACCTATTGAGCAAATAAACAAAAACAACTTTTGGGCACCACTTCGCTGCAAAACTCAGTAGAAAGGCTGGAAACTGCAGCATCAAACAAACTTGATAGGCATCAAAAGTAAATTGTCGGGCATGGCTGGGATTGCTTTCTTGGATGCTTGTTGCAAGGTGGGTTTACTGCGGGTTGGTTTTGGGTTGTTTGGCTTAGTTTTGGGTGGGTTTGAGATGGGGTTTGGGCGGGTTTGGCGTGGGCTTAGGGTGGGTTTAGGATGGACCTATCTAAGCCCTAAACCCACACTCACATTGTCTCATTCTGTGTCTGATTTGCTATTTGTTTCGTTCATATTTGCCTTTTGCTTTCTGTTCTAAGATGTCTTTATGATTTTAATTTTTATATTTTATCCCTGTCTCTCCTTTCCCGTCTTTGCTGTGTTCATTATTAACTTGTTTGATTTCGCTATTTCACCATTATTTTCGTACCACTGTGTCTTGCAGTCTCTTTCACGTCTCTGGATTTTCCGACCGATACATTGCTGAATAGTCCTTTCTCGTTCTTCCTAACAAGCACCTATTGACACATTCATTTTGGTTGTATAAGGAAAGCCTTCTCTTTTCAACTTCTTGACTATCACAAGGGTAGCTTTCAACAAGTTCAATTTTACAATTGTCCTCACCGTACTTGTCAAACACTTCCACAAACTTTGTCCCGTGTCGTTCTGACTGTTTACAATGTCTATAAGCGCATGCTTGTCTGATTCATCTTTCACTCAAATTTTCACAAGTGCTACCTGTATAACAATTGTCGGATCCAACATCGACTAGCTTGTAGAGTTTACCATTTCTACAACGGTTCTCCCTTACAATATTTAACCATCCATTATGTATGTTTATTCATACTTAATGTCTAATCAATAGTATACAGCGCGATAATATTATCAGCAATGTTTATTACAATCTGTATACCGGCTATGGTAGTACTGAGGCAACTAATACAAAAGCAAGGGAAGAAGACCCATCAATAACATTAGACGATGTTAAACAGCGGATGAAGAAACAACAAAACAAAGGATTTTACTGCACCGTTTAGTAGATTCCAATTCCAAATCAATATGATGCACATGATACTCCCAGCGAAAGACAACAACGCTCCACAGTATGCCTTAATCGTAAGTGACATCTTCCGTACGCTAGAAAATGTAATACCAATGGAGGAAAGAAACGGTGAGCATGTCTTGAATGCATTGAGAGCAAGTCTTAAGAAGATGGGTTATCCAATGTCAGTGTATTCCAATGACGGTGGCGAGTTCGCTACTAAAAACCAACAGCGAGGGCATCAACAACATCATCACTAAAACGCATGCAAATGTTGTGGAGCGTTTTATCAGAACGATGAAAAACAATAATTGCGATCGAGTTAGATTCAACAACCTGAAATGGGCTGATGCCCAAACACCTGCATTGAAGCAGTACAACTAACAGCACAGCCCATTCATCAACAAAAATGAGGTCAAATGTAAAAGTAAATCTCAAACCAAGAGAAAAAACAAAATAAAGTATCCCACAATAGAAGTGAACGCCTAGGTAAAAATGTTTCAAAAGAAAAGGGGTCGACAGGAGATAGTCTATCAGTCGTTGGAGTAATAACTTTCAAAGTTTAGAAGATTGGCTGTGATATTCTGGCTAATAAAACTTACATAGTGGGAGGGTTGCCCAAACCACTTCTTCGTCATGACGTGTTTCTAGTAAATGATTAGGAGTAAACCCCTGTTTCGTCATTGCCATCAATTTTGTAAAATTCGAATGTAGTTGGTTTGGGACATATCGCAGTATTGTTTTCGTGTTGCTTCAAAATCACCGGTAGGTCTTCCGATGCCTTCCTGTTGAAAAATGCTGTCCATCTTCTGCTTCTCATCATCATCATCATCATCATCATCATCATCACCATCACCATCATCATCGTCATTTTTCTTCGGTTGGTCCGAGCTTTCCTCAAGAGTTGTAACAAGTTTAGTCAAGTTCTTGATATTACTACTAAAAATGGTAATCTTATTTATTAGGTCATTGATAGAAAAGTGTTCACTTTCATAAGTCCAAAAGACACAAAAATATGTATTCAAAAAATTATGTATTCGCTCTCATAAAACTAATATTAACTAAATGATCGTTGTTTCTATTGTCACATGACCGTCCTTCTTCTTCGCTCTGCTCACTTCTTTGTCTTTCTTCTAGACTGAAAACATACATAGAATACACGTAGTATGAATTCCTCCCTTGTTATCCACTACTATTTTGTTTTGACAAATGAGCGCTGGTTTTTAATCCCTACAAACTTGATTGGACATTATTCAAGCTTCCGCGGCCCCTTCCGCATCCTGGCCGCGGGCCAAGAGGTCCCTTCCACGAACTTCCGCGGCACATGTGTTTCCATTGTTTGCTTCCGCAAACCTTCCGCGGCGCATGTTTTACAAGGTTTGCTTCCGCGAGTATTGGTGCATAAAGGAAAGACATTGTTCATTTTAAGTAAGGGGAAAGTGGAACAGAAAGTAGTGCTTCGCCGCAGCTACGTGGGCACAACACGCAGAGCTTCCGCGAACCTTCCGCAAACCTTCGGCAAAATCCGCTGGCTGTTTTGGTCTTCTTGGCTTGCTGTTGGCAACTGCTTTTCTAGTATGCGTTGCGCTTCTTGTACGCAGCAACACCTTTCTGACTCCACTGTAATCGTTTCTCCGTGCTCTCCCACGCACGCAAACTGAAACAAATAATTTCAGATTTGCCACAAAGCTGCCACAAACCTTCCGCGAAAGAACCCCTTCCGCGAAGCCTTCCGCATGCTTCCGCGTGTGTGGCGCACATTTTCAAGAATAATGTCCCTCTCCCCACCAAATTAGCTTGCGGCCAAAACACCGCCGCTCAAAAATACTGTTTTAACGCTTTCTGTTGTTTCGTTTCGTTCTTGATGTCTTTCATCATCTGATTAAAATGTTGTTTTACTATGTTCCTTTCTTAGCATGTTATATTAATATTCACATTCTGATTTGATGTATTGTATAGATAACTTGATTCACTCTACTGAATCATCGCAGCATTTCTTAGTTATACTATCGGTTGTTACTTGGAAGAGGCAAGGCAAATGGCGCGCAGAAGCGGCTGAGGACTGAATCTCAACACCCCAGAACATAGAACAACTAAAAGGCTAAAAGGGGTAAGTCTTTCAAACGAAAAACAGATCACTAAGACCAACAATGAACAAGGCAGCCATGTGCCCAAATGCCCACCTCCCACAAAACGACAGAACGAAGAAAAGAAACAAAAAAAGAAATATCCCACCCCCCAAAACCCCTTTTTTCATTTTTCCCCAACCCCCCCCCCCCGCAGGGCTGAACATAAGTCAAGCCTCTCAATGAGGTTGCCCCACAGACAGTAGACGATACCCTGCACAGAGTGCTTCTCGAAGACCGGAAGATCCTTCCCCAAGAAAAGACACGCCCATTTATGGGTGCACCCACGGACACCCCAGATACTCCTGATGCCTTCAGGTATCCATCAGGCCTCAACACAGCTGAGCAGCCTTATGAGACCTTCCCTGGAACGTGTTGTAAGGATTTGCGTTGCTCTGAATGCACCTCTGTTCATGAGCGCTAGGCTTTCTGCTGTGCCCTTCTGGAACATGGGGATTCAATCCAAGGAATGCCAAGAGCAACATGCTGGCAATGAAGAGCTTGTATTCGAATAGCCATTGGGCCATGCCTGCCTCGAGAGTGCCACACCTATGCGGTCGTCTCGCAGCAGAGGTTCGTGGAGTTTCGATTCATGGTGTACCTTTGGGGTCGCAAAAGATGAGCCAAAAAGGGGCCAAAAGGTTGATTTGGTTTGCCTTTGCAGAGACGAATTTGACAGTGAACTGCAGGGCCGTCGCCACTCCTCGTTTGCCGCACAAGCACTTGTCCCAAGCAAAGGTTCCTTCATGGCCTGTCTGTCGCCGTTCTGCGGTTGGTTCCCGGGCTGGTCATCCAAACGTTTTCTGCTATGAGGGCGCCCCTATGCCATTTTGCTCAAATGGATCCCGTCCTCGTTCTGCACCTGCGCCAGCGCCATCCTCGTGTAAACCGATGTGGGGCCCGGGTCACAAGCACCAAACATGCATTGAATGTGGCCTCTTGCTCATGTGCTCGCCGGTTTGAGGCATAATGGTCATCCCCTGCATTTGGTTGGCGAAGATTCAAAAGACATGCCCTGGTGGTGGACAAAGTGGGTACTGATCAGGTAGGTAAGGGGGCTCGATTCCAGAACAGGGTGCACATAAAGGGAGCAGTACAACAAACATTTTTAGTAGGGTTGCACCAAGACTGGTCACTTTTTCTCCCATTTATGGTCGTGTCGCTAACGTGGTGGGATTGTGCGTGCGTGCTGGAGCACATGCATGGCACACATTGGCGTGTGGCTGGCAAAGTGATTAGCACTGTTCACGGGCCGCCCCATTCCATCCCCAGAATTGGATCACCATCAAGAAACCAGAAACAATATCCTGGTGACCGCAGCAAGCTGCCCTTGCTCGTGGCTGGAAGGCCGCCTCCGAATAAGATCTCAGCCAAGAGCCTATGCGAAGCAACATACTTACGCTCTTCACAGCCATTCTCGGATATGAGATGAACAACATTAATCTCTCCCCTAAGTGGAAATCATGTACCCCATTATATATTGTATTGTCCTGCTACGACAAGTCCGCAAACCAGGTGCAGTCTATACGTTCACTCAGGACTCCCATAATACAGGATCTTGGGGATGTAGCAAGTCCAACTTTCTCTTCCTTGCCGCCAAAGGGTCACAATGTCGATGTCCAGCATGTTGGGCACCAGCATCGTCCGAATGATCACGTGCGAGCTGCTGTTGTGGTTGGACACCTGGATGTCAAAAAGCGAAGGTTCCAACTGTGAGAGGTCAGCATCAAATAAGTTGGGTGGCAATCAAGCCCCTTGGAAGCAAAAGGGAAAAGCCACAGAATTGAGGCAAAAAAAGATCATCCTGTGACCAGACCTACCGGTGTCTAGGATTCTAGGAATTGTTTCATTTCCTTCGAGAACTTGAGGAATACCGCAGATTTCAAGTCTCTCCATTGAACCGTTGTTGGACTACCAATGCAACTACACCCCCAGAATCAACGCGGAACCCGTTTGGATGAGCCTTGCAAGTTGTTTGTTAGGTCGGACCCACATCTCTTAAATTTCGGGACCTTGCCAGTGTACCTATTTGGCAAAAGCCCATTCAGTTGAACTAACCTTGGAATAGGCGCAGAATAATGCCTGCTGACCTAGTATTTCTGTTTCAGAGGCCGATGTACGTGAAATCTGCCTTCTGTGAGAAAGGACGTTCCTTCTTCCTCAAAAGTCTTCAAGTCCTGCAAATGAATGCCTGCTGGGCCCCTGCAATTCAGTCGACCCCAAATTCGACCTTCGACGCTTGCGTCAATTGTGTAGACTTGGTTCAAACAGTTTGCTGACCCCTAATTAGACCCTCCTGTCATTCAACATCTGGGATGAAGTAGGATTCTCAATCCGGGTCAACAGTCCGGCCTCTGGCGAGGATTCTCGTTTTGGCAGTTCCGTTTGCCTCAAAACAGAGGTTCCTGGCCAACAGCCTCGCTTTGGTTTCCCTCTGTTCCACGAGCCCGCAAAGGGCCTTTGAGGGGTATCGAGCCGCAAAGAAAAGAGCCACACGCTGCCCTCGCAGACAATTTCAAGGTTCAGTTCGACCAAATCCGTGCCTCAGGCGTGAAGTCCTGGTGCCACCAAATATTCGGCTGCTGGCCTGACACTCTCTGTGGCAGTTGACCCCACACTCCCACCCAAGCTAAGGGGAGGAGGAGGGAGGCACTGGAAAGTCTAAAGTTGAGATATGCTACTTAGAGTCCATCAGGGGAATGCATATGATCCAGACAATTGTGCTGTGATCGGGTAGACCAGTGGCAAAACCAGGAAATGGAACCCTGCTTGGCGCAAGTTCAGGAGAAAACCTGCATGCAACCGACCGTCTGTATGTGCCTTGCTTTTGACACCCAATCAGGTCCAGAAGCCGCACCGATTTTTTTAATAGTTGTTTTTTTTTGTTGTTTGTATCTTTTTTGTTTTGATGTTTTTAATTGTTTTTCCCGCGCGCCTTTTTCCCCCTAGGCACCCCAAAGAATGAACCATTCAGCCTTTCCAATTTTTTGCATACAATCATATATGTGTAAAAATGGTTTCTGTAGAATCGTCTGAAGGATGCACAGCATGACACCGCAACAAGTCCCCAAAGGCACAAACGTTACATTTCCATCCGAGCCGGCTTGCTTCCGTGAATCCGAGGTGCTGATGTCTTTCTGGCTGTCAAACTTCCAGCAGGGGAAGGACACCTGGGCCACAGCGATTGACTCAGCTCCTACGACGCAGGTAAGTAGCCGCTCTGGCGGTTCGCGTGAACACCTTCGGCAAACAATTGAAAAAAGGACGGCGCCCCTGCACTTCGAGCAAGCGCTTGAAACTGGCTCAGGTCAGGACATCCCAGTCTTGTAAGGATCCGCCGACCCGCGCTCCAAAAGGGGCAGGTGCAAGAGAGTGGTGCATCATCATCAGCGGCATCATCAGCATCATCATCATAATCATCGTCATCATCATCATCATCATCATCATCATCATCATCATCATCATCATCATCATCATCATCATCATCATCATCATCATCGCCAACACCATCATTGTCGCCATCGTCGTCGGCATCGTCGTCGCGCTTATATGTTCAGAAGGGATGCTGGGGATGCAAAGCAACGACTTCTTCGAGGCAAGGGCGGCATTTGGGAACAAATGCTAGTTGTGTTTGGCTGCACAGGGAAGTGACCATAAACAGATCTGTGAGATAAAGTGGTCGACACCCCCAGCATCACCGGTGATTGAGTAAGGGATTTTTTTCTCCGCTTGCTACATATAGAGCATCACCACTGATCATCACCACTGTTTGGCAAAGGAATGCTTTTACGCTTGCTGAACGTAGATGTCGCCATGGAACCCCCCACCCCAATTTTGGGAACCGGCCGAAACAGGGAAGTATAGCAAGCCATGCAAAAGTCTCGTATCAATGAATTGGGTCGGCGGCACTGCTTAAGTGAACCACATGGACGGAAGATTAACTTCCACATTTCCTGGCCACAAGCAAGAATCAAAGAAATCACAACCAGCAAGATCTGGGATGTTGTCGAAACAAGCCTCACCCCCTTTTGGCACCCTTCAAACCTGTTGCAATCAAACAAGCTGTTTACAGTGAGGGTTGCAAACCTAGGTGGTGTCCTTTTAGGGAAATTGATGGGACTGACATTCGGAGTCCATGTTCAATCAAAGTGACCTTCCAACAAGCCTACGATTTCCTCCATTTCCTCGAGAGTTCGCCTACAACTGAAGCGGCCACGGCACGCCGTCCCGCAGCACCACATCCGGTCGATAGGCACAGCGCATGGGCACGTTTCCAAAGAAGCGCCAGAATCTTGTCCTGATGGGCTTCAGGTTGCAAACATGTTTGGCAAGTTCCATTTGACTCTCCTTGATCAGCTTAAGCTTAACCCCTCCAGTTCTCCGCTACTGTACCCAGTGGACAAGGACAACACTCGTTGCAAAATCAGTGCTTGCGGAACACCTTCTGATAACTCTCAATGCGATTTTTGAGCACATCGCCACCTTGTGAAAACTGAAAGCCAAAAGGACGGCTCACTGCCACTCCTGGTTGGGAGATTGTGCTTTGCCACATCCTGGACCTGCAAGGCGGGTCTCAAGCTCAAGAGCTTGAGCTGACACCATGGCACATGCAAAGCCAAAGAGACTGGTGAGACGAAAAATACATGTTAAGCTATATTTGGTCCCCTCATGTTCACGGCCGTGTCTGACGCTTTGGACATGGAGGCCATTTTCTTTGAACGAAAGCAACCCCATGCTACTCCTGTGGAGTGCATCCGCAAGTGCAAACCAATGAACGGGCCCCTGGTGGCGCTATGGATTCCTTCCATAATCACGCTTAAATGACCTAAATGTTCATGACTCCTGACGTACATATCACCCGTCAGTGTGCGGGAAACCGCTGCCCTGATCGCCTCTGGCTCCACCATAAGCATTTCCAGCATCTCCGCCGCAGCTTGCGGCGCGATGAACAAGATGCCAGCCATTTTATCCTAGGGCCAAGCCGGTGAGCCGGATGTGTTGGGTCACAGGTGCACCAAAAGCTATAGCAGGTGTCCCATTTTACTATCAGCCTCAGCTTGCCTCCAAGTTGCAGTGTGAAAATCCCTTCAATCTGACAAGTGGAGACCCCTAACGATTCACAAAACCTCGGCTGCGAGGGTATCGAGGTGAGTAAGAAAATGGGGCCCACCAGACCAGCTATACCGGACACAGGCGACGCTGGAAAAATATTCCAACACATAAAATGCCCACCCAGGTGCAGTGCGGCCCGTCTGCTGCGCATCCCAGCGGAAGCTATGCCTGGAGCAGGCATAGCTTAGCCAGCTCTCCCAATCAGAACCTTGAGCATTTCTGAACAAAGCCGACCCTGAACCTTGCGGATTGCACTGGTGAGCTTCTTAAAGTTCTAAGTATTGCTCCTGAAATCCCAGAACACTTCTGATTGGCTATCATGCAGAACAATAGCCCTCACAATGCACATCTGGTTGGTGCATGACTTACGTCATTGCTGGCATCTCTGGAGCCCCTGCTTTGTTGATGCAGCAAGTACGGTTCTTGGGAAACCACTTGGATCCATAGCAATAGTGAATTGCAGCCTTCCGAGGCTGATCAAAATCCAAATCTGAAGAAAATCCAAACGGATCACATTGTCCTCTTGAAGCTCGGGACTGTATTTGATACGTGTATGTTTGTCTCAGGCAAGGGGCAACAGCTCCGGCTTCTTCGACGCTTGCCGAACAAGCTCATGGACCACCTCGCACGGTTTCGCAAAAGGCTCAGGTCGGTGTGGTTTAGAGGTTCAGGCAAGGCTGGCTTGATGATTTTTCAGCCAAGTATTTGGAAACACGGTTCAAGCAATATGTGCGTGCTGAAGATGCCAAATGAACATGATAAGTTGAGCGAACACCACATGCCTGCGTGTGTGAACCGTTTTGCTTTCTTAAAATAAGCAACATACGCAAATGTGGTGACAAGCACATTTGCACACAATGGGCAAACTGCTGGACGGACTGGACGGAGCCACCGCAAAAAGTCCCACAAATGGGGAGGGTTTGGGCAAACAAATCTGGAAGAAATACAATAAAGGTGGAACCCTGCGCGAAGAAATGGTTTAACAAGACTGCACCGGAAAACGACCAAGAATAACAAGAAACTGATTTGTCGGAATTTGGATATGTCGGATACGGGTTCTCTTTGCACCCTTTCGCTCCAACAGGCTCACGCGATCTCATGCCTCTTCCGCTGCTTCGGCGTTGAGACTGGCCAAAAAGCCTGGCCAAGGGCAAGTTCCACCTACCCCAAAGAACCCAAACCTGCAAGGCAAGATCGGTTGAGACATTCCTAGGTCCAGATTTGGTCCTGGTTTCATTGCCAGATCCATTGAAAAAGGGTTGGCCTTCCAGTCGGAAAGCTGTTGCAGCTTTGCCTTGAAAATCCGGTCGCCATTTCTTTGACGCTGGTTTTTTTGAACCTAGGGCCCCTCCATTTGAGGCTGTGTTCCTTTGTTCCGGCCAGTTCCTTATTTGCGGATACACAGACATCGCCTCCTACTCTTCCTACTCTTCCTACTCTTTCTGATGATGCGTTGGTTCTGTCATTTGCTTGCCCATCCATTCCTAAATAAAACGAATACACTGCTCAGGATTGCTTCAGCCTTTAGGATCACCTTCAGATTTCTGCCTTGAAATACATCGGGCGACCAGTATAAAATAAGGTGAGGGAAGAATATGGAGGGAGAATGTAAGCCAAATGTAGAAGTGATGTCAAATTAGCGAGACACTCACGGCAAGCCTGGCCAAAACGACTGTCAAACGAGTGCATTCCGGTCAAAGTGATGACCTAAAGCTTGTCACACCAACCAACCAGCCAGCCAGCCAACCAACCAACCGACCCAACCTAACCAAACCAAAACACGCCAACACAACCAACCAACCAACCACCGACCAACCAACCGACCCACAGACCCGCCGACTCGCCGACCCGCCGACCCACCGACCCCACAGACTGACCAACCAACCTACCGATTGGCACTGCATCTTCGGCCAAGAAGCTAACATCTTTAAAAAAGCGAGCGTGATGACCCGTCTGGTTCAAGCAGGGCGCCTCAGAACCGCGTGCGCCGCAAAAAAGCACGAGGGTAGTCATTCATACTGCTTTTGCTGCTGCTGCTGCTGCTGCTGCTGCTGCTGCTGCTGCTGCTGCTGCTGCTGCTGCTGCTGCTGCTGCTGCTGCTGCTGCTGCTGCTGCTGCTGCTGCTGCTGCTGCTGCTGCTGCTGCTGCTGCTGCTGCTGCCACTGTGGTTGCTATTGCTGTTGCTGCATTCGACCCTACCAATCTGAAAGGACCAAAACTTGAGTGCAAAGGATATGTTCCATTCTGGGGGGGCTCCCAGAACTAGGCTGAGCCGCTTACTACGACGTTCTGAAAACTGGATTGGAGACACTGCTTCACGATATTCTTGAACACATGATTGGAATGGGGATGCTTGGAGGGGCTCCCGAAAACTGAGTGTTTGGGAGGGCGCATTAAAGATGCTTGGGATGGCTCTTCCGCAAAATGGTTCGCGGTGATGGTTCTCGTAATCAACAAGGTCTGCACGAGGAAAATCTTGAACACGGGGAAACGATATCATGAAAAGGAATGGACGACATCGAAAGCGCCAAACAAGACAAGCAAACGCTGAAGTGCCGCTGGGCGTTTCCTTCTACCCGCAACACCGCCTTGGTGGTCTCCCGGTTTCATTGTCCCTTTTGAGACAAGGAAAGACTATGGCCGGCCCTCGTGTGCAAAAAGCATATTTTCAATGGTTAGTGCGAAACCACTTGTTGTCCCAAGAGTCAAAGGCACAAGGTCCAACCAAAGAGCTAACCACAAACTTGGGGACCATGCACAGCTTCCATCTTGACGTGGAGACTTTCACACCAAGACACCAGCACGTGCATCATGTGCTTGGGAAAGCGGCTTTGCTCCGCAGCTGCCAGCTGCATGGGGATCTTCCCACACATCAACATGTCCGGATGGCTGTCAGGTATCCTCCGGGACACGGGCTCTGAATCCGGAAAAACATGCCTTCTGAGCCCCAAGGCCAAAGCCCCAAGGACGGGCTAAAGTTGTACATGGGAGTGGAGGGAGTGGACCAAGGCTTTCAATAAAGGGTCTGCTCAATTGGCTTCTTGGATGGAAGGGCCGGCCAGATCCCGAAAGGCGAACCTGACATCTTCCCTGCCATCAGAAAGACGCAGCCCCTGGGTTCCTAAATTGACGACCCGTGCACCCCAAATGAAGCTGCATTGATTTTGGGAGACACGGCGCGTTTCACGTCATTTGGCGCCAGAGAATGTCTGATCCGGTACGACGAATGTAAGTCCAACAAGCTTGGAGAATGTGGCATTGGTGACAGAGTCGCATAACAGTGAGTCTTCGTACAGTTCGTAACATATTATCGTGTTTTGAGCTTGTGACAATCCCTTTGCATGTTGTGTTGCCCCCATTTCGCAAACCAGAAGCAGAAAAAAACACCATAACCAACGCCTTCAGCGACCCAAAACAGGCGTAGTTTCCCAGTCAGTCCTCGTCTCCAAAGATGCCCCGCCGCTGCACAGCGCGCGCACTAATCTGGCAACCTGGCCGCAGGAGCAAACACAGGGGGTTCGCTTGAACATTAGGGGTGAGTACCCCCTGGAATTAGGGGTGGTCAGCTTCCATGGTAAAAATGCACTGAACAGGAAGCTAGTGGTTGATCCAGCAGAGGCGACAGACGCGCAAAGATGCATCCCCAGTGAGGTACAGGTTTTCAGGTCCGGACAGGCTTCGCTACATTCTACTCAAACCTGAGCTTCTGAACCTACAAACTCGACATTTGCAAGCCTGCTTAACCCCTATGCCGGTCCCAAAAACTTTCGAGGAGAGACCCTCCAATCACGAGCAGGTCCCTTCATGAGCCTCCTCATCCGACTCCAAGCCGCCAGTAACGCCTGACAGCCAGTGCAAGTCACACCAACCCAACCCATTTGCGTAGCTTCTTGTTTCCGCCAATGCAGCGTGTAATTTTGCTAATTCGCTGTTCCTGCATGTTTGCTTGGCTGGAAGCTCGACTGCCGGGCATGCTGGCAGGCAAGTTGGTTGGTGGATGGGTAGGGTGGCAAAAAGCCGCAAGCAATTCTGCCGCATATTGCACGCCTGCAAAGAGTTGCGGGGTATGCTAGGTGTGTTGTCACAAGGCAAGCACAAAAGACTGAGGGAAAGAAGTGGCCAGGTAAAGAATGAGCCCAGGCATACGAATGGAAACACTGAAGTGGACTTCGCACCACCAAGGACTGAACAAGATTTCAAGCAAACGCAGGCCAGCCTCAATGAAACTGCCTCTAGGCGAGCCTGAGAAATTCAAGGTATAGCTCTCTTCCTTTCGCCATGTCCCAAAGATGATTTCCACTACCAAACCACCCGCAAGGGAAATTGGGGTACAAAACCTACAGTGGCTTTATAGTTGCATGTCTCATTACTCATCTGGGAATGTCGCTCCCTCGTGGAATCCTTGTCTTAATGGAGCCGCACAAAACGCCCAGGCTGGGCCTCTGAGAGCCACGAAGTGCAGCGAAGTGACCCCGTCCTACAGCTCGGAGACCCGGCTCTGGCTTTTAGGAGTTGGGGCTGGCCAAAAAACAACACAAATCCCACACTGGCCATGTCAACCAACAGTTGTGGGATGACTTGATGTGAAGAAGTGGATGTTGAAGCTGACAACATGGCCAGTTCAGTGCCGCTTGTCTGACCTTGATTCTCGGAGGTGACTTTTCACAAGACCAGTGCAAACATTTCCCCAGGGCATTCAGCTTCAGAAAACAGAAGGCAAAGACCACTGAAGGAAAGCCACAGAACAATAAAAGCGGCACCAACCTGAATTCTGGGAGTTCAGCGAGGCTTCATCTCAGACGTATGGGACAAAGCTGCCTTAACTTACTCAACGCTTTACGGCCAATTCTGGGGCGTCCCTTTGCAGCTCACTCCTTGTTCATGGCCGTCGCATCTGCTTTGTGGTCAAGGAGCCACATAGACACCTCGTTGTTGCCTCTCAGGTGCATCCGACGGAACCAACGCTCGGCTGGAAGATTTAGGAGCCTCCTCTCTGCCTAAAACATGTGCCATCGGACCCCATTCCACTCACCAAATTGTCCAAAGGAAACAAGGAACCCCTTTCTTGCTGGCTGATCTTTGATGGGCAAGCCAACCAAATCAGGCCCAGGATGAGGGCACAGGGGTATCATCATCATCATCAAGAGGACAAACGCAAACAGGTCCAAAAGGCCTGCATTGGTGGCATCGTGCAAGGGGGTGTAGTACTCCTCAGACCTAGCGGCCGAGCTTCAGCATATCGGGGGTTTGGGTCGATTCTGGTCTCCGGCTGTGGGTCCCTTTCTGCAATCGGCAGTGAAAGGCTGTTCTTGCTGGATAGTGCTTAAGATTGGCCTGTGATTCTCTTGCAGCAGCCACTCCCAGCAAAAGTGGAGCCTGCACAAAAACAGCCACATGTACTCAGCCAAGATACCATGGAGGGTCATTGGTGGACCTGTGCCGGATGAGGCCTTGGTGCGTACTGCAGCACATCTGGCATGCCGTTGTCAATCACTGTAGCAGGGCGTTGGTGTGAAAGTAAGAGCCCCTTTGCAACTTTGCAGAACTTTTGGCAGATATCAGCTTTTATTGAAGAGTGTCCCCAAGAAATGTTGCGGGACTCCATTTGTTACTCCCAAAACACTTCACCAAGTGTGCACGGGACATCTCCCTTTTCAAGGCTTTTCCATGCCATCGGTTGATGGGGATGTATGTCAAGTAAATGGTTGTTCCTCCAAGAAAAGGATGGCAATTTGGCAATTGCATGGCTAAGTTCAAGCACGTTCAAGAAGTCTTAGCATGCCAAGACCACTCAGAAGGACTTGGGAAACAGCTAACTCACCGTGTATCTCTGGGCAACTTCACTGAGATGGTCTCCACATTGTAGCTCTTCTCAACCATGCTCAAACTCCAGAAACTGAAACTGAACCCCTGCTAGTGTCAGCAGTTCCACCACCCTTGCTGGCCTGCTCCAACAAAACAGTATTCTCCCTGTCATTCAAAAGCCGCAGCACTATCTCCAATCTTGTTTGTATTCAAAACGATGCAGCGGCAATTAGAGATGTTGATTTGCGATATCCTCGCACCCAGCTCTCTTGTGGATCTGAGATTCGGCATGGCCAAACATGCCTCGAAGAAGGATTCTACATCCCTCGCAGAAGTGTCTAGCGAGTCTGGCGTGTCGAATCTTGAATCCTAGTCTAAAAAACAAAAACTATGTCGGCCCAAAGAAGCACCCAAACATGGTTTCTTAGCATAGGGAACAATGTAAGTGCCCTTTTCAAGGTGGCGATTGCCTCTTGTTGCTGGCTACTGAGACACTGCTGGTTTCCCAAACAAAAATGAAAGCCGAAGTCCAACAACAACAAAAAAGCACAGATTTGTCCGTAGATGTATTCTGGCAATGTATCTATGTACCGTATACCTCTATACATGTGTGTCACATGCGATTGCATGTGCTTCCGGTTCGTGTGCTAAGTGTCAAGCGCAGAAAGGGCAACTTGAAAGCTCGTTGCTCTGAGAGCTCGTGTCAACTTAGGTGTATGAGTATATGCCTGTGTGTCCTATTCCCAGCCCACGTAAACGTAAATGTCTATACATCTGTTGCATCGCACACGTTGCATGTCTGACATTGTACACAAACACACACACACACACACACACACACACACACACACACACACACACACACACACACACACACACACACACACACACACACACACGCACACACGCACACACGCACGCACGCACGCACGCACGCACGCACGCACGCACGCACGCACGCACGCACGCACGCACGCACGCACGCACGCACGCACGCACGCACGCACGCACGCACGCACGCACGCACGCACGCACGCACGCACGCACGCACGCACGCACGCACGCACGCACGCACGCACGCACGCACGCACGCACGCACGCACGCACGCACGCATTTACTGATTTGTGCATCCGACGACATCTTCTCATTTCAACAACTGCCGGAACATGGCAGTCAATCCCGGATTCGTGGCAGCGTCAGGGCACAAGGTGTGTTGATGTACTCCTGCTGCGTCTTGGAAGTCACCTGCAGAGCGGGACAACCCAGTTCGAGAGCCAAACACATTCATGTAAACTTTGGTTACAGAACTCTATTCTTAGAAGCATGATGACAATCTCAACCAAGCCCCGTTGCCAAGAAGCCTCCTTTTACCACGGGCCGTGTGATGAGGTAAGGAATCTTCCCGTCAGCATCAACAAAACGCCTTGTATTCTGCACGGTGCTTGCACGGTGCAGCTGGGGCCAAGAAGACAAGACTCTGCACAGGAAAACATGATGGACCAGCAACCCCCGTCCATCTCGCCTTTGCGAAGGCGCATGAACGGGCTGAGGTGCGGAGTGCAAGGCAAACACGTTGTACTCGACAAAAATGTATGATGCGCGAGCATGTTTACCGCTTTGCAGTTGTCTTTCTCCTCCTATGTGCCCTGCCGGGCTTCGGGGCCGAACTGAAATTGTAAACCCCCCCCCCTTACCCCCCCCCTCCCTTTAGGACTCCCATATCCACTCCCTAGCGTTTTCAGGGAGTCCTCCTAGCCAACTGTTCCCTAACACCTCTCTAAGCCGGTTTTAAGGATCCTGCCTTATTTTTATCGAATGAGCCTTTGTAGCCAACTTTTTCCTAGGCCCCCCCCCCCAAAGCTGGTTTAAGCGTTCCCCTTGTCTGTTGCCGAATGATTGAAGCAGAAAATTCGCTGAGACAGTCGGACAAATTAATCCATATTCAGAATCAGAAAGAACTGACCAACGTGAGGCCCCATTTTAGGCCCTGTTTGAGGAGCCCTCCCTAAGCACTCCAAAATTGTGTTTTCTATTTTTCTCCAGGCCCTCCCGCTTCCTCTGCTGCGCAAAAACGGGCCAAGAAGACAGATGTTTCCGACAAACCAATTTATGAGTATTTTCTGCCTGAGCTCATTTTGTTCGCAAAAAAGATCCGGGCCAAACCTGTGTTGCTTACTGACAATTTCTCCTCCCTAACAGCTCCATAAACACTTCCGAACAGGTAGCGTCAAAGTCCATCCTGATGCTTCAAATAGGATTGGGGGGAAAGGGGAGGGGAGGGGGGGTAAAGGGGGGGGACAATTTCACAACTTTAAGTGCAGGCACCAACCTTTTTTTGGGGGGTACGTACGCCACTGGCATGGAATTATGCTCCTTGGCATGTCCGGTACAGTCAGAACAGGTTGGACTCCTTTGGGTTGCTTGGTAGAACCAAAAAAGGCCCCTGGCTTTGATGCGCAAAGAGTTGATGCTTGTACTCTGAAAGTCAATAGGGGGAACCCGGCCCACCTAAAGCACCGTATTTCCATTTTCCATTTTCAGGGGAGTCGGTATTTTCAGGGGAGCCGATGTGCCCCACTCGTGGGTACAATGGAATTGCACTCGAGTCTGGGGTGTGCAACTCTGGCTCGTGACTGCCAAGTGCACCTGTTGCACTGGTGCCATGTTTCTTTTGGACCGTTATTTGTTTTGTGTGTGATTGCTTCGGTCTGCCACTTGTCTCGATATTGTTGAGCCTCTCTTTGAAAGTTGCAGTTTTCATGTTGCTGCTCAAACACTGGCCAACGAGCGCAGACACACAAGCTTGAGCAATCATCCCAACAGACCCTGCAGACACTCAAAGTCGCTGGAACCCATTCCCAACTGAAACACAATTGCGTGTCGCGCACGACCCTGCACATAAACCAGAGGCCATTTGGAGCGGTTGGTTTTCTCTGGGTTGGTCCCAGAGCCCGAAAGACAAAGAACTTGACCCAAAACGACAATTTGATGTGTGATCACAATCCAAGTTTGCAGTCACGAGGCTCGATACTTAGCCCTTGATTGACGAATCCTGTTCTGAATCGGGGAGTCCCCTTCCTGGTAAGCCAACCCTACACCAAACCTAAAACCAACCTAAACCAACAATCAAGCACCCTAAGCGAACTCTAAACCGATCCTAAACCAACCCTAAACCAACCCTAAACCAACCCCCTAGACCAACCATAGACCAACCCGAAGCCCAATCCAAAACCAATCGGAAGCCCACCCCAAACCATGCGGGCTGGTAGTTTCTGAATCCTGGAGTCGTATTTTCTGAATTTGGGATTTGAGGTTTCTGAATCGGGGATTGCAGTTTTTGAATCCGCCAACCGTAGGTGGATCGTAGTTGCGGAATCGTCTGTAGTCTGAAAAATTCGGGATTGATCCCCCTTCCTCGCTAGGGGACTGCCATGGCGGCTCGCGGCCTTCGTCACGCGCTGGAGGAGGACTTCCATCACAGGAAGCGCACCCAGACCGGCAGCGATGTGAATCGCGTCAAGCCAAGCCTCATCAGCACTTCCTGCGGGAAGGCTCTGCAGATTTGCCTTGCGCCTGTCTGTTTGCCCTTGGTCCTATTTGCTGGAATGCATTTATGAGACGGGCACCACAAACGTGTGCCCAAACAAGTGGACAAGGAAAAAGAAAACACGCAAGCAAGCAAGCAAGCAAGCAAGCAAGCAAGCAAGCAAGCAAGCAAGCAAGCAAGCAAGCAAGCAAGCAAGCAGGCAGCAGGCAGGCAGGCAGGCAGGCAGGCAGGCGAGCGCAAGCAAGCAAGCAAGCAAGCAAGCAAGCAGCAAGCAAGCAGGCAGCAAGCAAGCAAGCAAGCAAGCAAGCAAGCAAGCAAGCAAGCAAGCAAGCAAGCAAGCAAGCAAGCAAGCAAGCAAGCAAGCAAGCAAGCAAGCAAGCAAGCAAGCAGCAAGCAAGCAAGCAAGCAAGCGCAGCAAGCAAGCAAGCAAGCAAGCAAGCAAGCAAGCAGGCAGGCAGGCGAGCAAGCAAGCAAGCAAGCAAGCAAGCAGGCAGGCAGGCGAGCAAGCAAGCAAGCAAGCAGGCAGGCAGGCGAGCAAGCAAGCAAGCAAGCAAGCAAGCAGGCAGGCAGGCAGGCAGGCAGGCGAGCGAACAAGCAAGCAAGCAGGCAGGCGAGAAAGCAGGAAAGCAAGCAAGCAAGCAGGCAGGCGAGCAAGCAAGCAAGCAAGCAAGCAGGCAGGCGAGCAAGCAAGCAAGCAAGCAAGCAGGCAGGCGAGCAAGCAAGCAAGCAAGCAGGCAGGCGAGCAAGCAAGCAAGCAAGCAAGCAGGCAGGCAGGCGAGCGAACAAGCAAGCAAGCAGGCAGGCGAGAAAGCAGGAAAGCAAGCAGGCAAGCAGGCAGGCGAGCAAGCAAGCAAGCAGGCAGGCGAGCAAGCAAGCAAGCAAGCAGGCAGGCAGGCGAGCAAGCAAGCAAGCAAGCAAGCAGGCAGGCAGGCGAGCAAGCAAGCAAACAAACAAACAACTTGTACAGCAGCGTCGGCTCCTGAACGCAATTGGTACTTGGCGGTTGCGAAGAGCTCCTTCTCGGAGAGGTATGGCAGCAGCCTAAGATTTCTCGGCACTTCGCCGGAGGACGGTTTTCCTGCATCCCCTTCCATCACCGCCCAGCGACTGCTCTTCAAAGGGATGCCTTTTGGAGAGCGCCTGAGGTGTAGTTGAAGCAGTCCCTAAAGCAGGTGCTGGCAAATGCAATGGACGCTTTCGACTCCCCGCAGCTTCCACACTCTGCGGCCGCTGCACCTAAAACATGGAACCTGGTGGTACTCACTCGCGCCCACTCGCGCCAATTGCAACGTGGGAGCAGCTGGGGTGCATGAAAGAACTCGTGGCAAAGGTCCCGTGAGTCTATTTTGTTGACGTCTAGGAAGACCTGTCTCTGCTATGCGACATTCAATACCCGTAGGCTTGCTGGCAATGAGCTCAAAATCACGTGGTTCTTAGTCGGTGCTTGAGTTTGTGATCAGTTGGCGCTACTAAAGTTGCTTTGCATGGTTCTAAAAGTGAAGGGACACTTTTTGCATAAGGAAGACGCGCCGTCTTATTTGTTCCATTCACGTGCAAAAAGCGAGTTCCAAGCATAAGCCCAGCATGCCTTTGACAGAGAGTTGCGGGAAAGGCATGGCGGGGGTTTGAACAACGGGCTCAATTGACGTTGGAGCCCTCAGAGGGACACCAGAGAGGCAAAACACCGCGAATGCAGACACTCAGTGGAAACCTCTCCCGCACACTTCTCGGCTAGCTTGGTCTTCGGTGCGAGAGGTTTTGGAAGGATGCCCGACGCAACCCAGAAAACCCAGTTCACCTGCAACAAACAAATGCTTCAACTGAAGACCTTAAGGGAAAAGAATCAGAGAACCCTTGATTGTCATTTACGGAGCCCCCAATCACGAGTTTCACCGGGTTCGGGCAACAAACAGAAACCCGCTGCTCTCCCAGGGCTCCTTGCCTCAAGCACCAACCAAAAAAGTAAAACATGAAACCACCCATTCAAAGAGGTCCCTGCCTGATCTGACGAAACGGGCAACATGGTCCGAAAAGAACGGCCTGTAGGAACTACTTCGTTTCTGCCGGCCTCTCCACACAGCTGCTGTCCCGTAGACGTGCGGAAATCCAGACAGCGAAGTGGAGCAGCTGGCCGCTCCTTGGGTGAAGCCAGACGCTTCTGCGCACTTCAAAAGGCTTGACAACATCCCGCAATGAAAGGTCAACCTTTTGGCCTGCCGTGTCTTTTTTGAAATCTGTGAAACCTCAATTGCCAAAAGGTTGACAGAACGGTGATGCCTTTTCGGGAACATCCTTCAAAGGAACACAGAACACGACACTAATTTTGACAGCCTGCACAGAAAAACAGGCGGCCATGCCTGAAAGCTGGGATTGAAAAGCCAAAAAGCCACGCTTGGAGAGAACTGAACTCTTCAAACTGTTGTCTTGCTCACGCAAAGAGAAAGACTCAAGCAAAGAAGCATAACAAAGAATCCGACCTATCCAGCATCAAATCTTGCCATGAAATGGCTGATCCATATAAGTATGCTTGGCAATTGTTTCAACTATGTCGGTCTAGGTGGCAAATGACAACGGCATGGCTAGGGTATACGCACGCATCTTGGAGTTTGGAAGGTGTTTCTAGGCAAGCAAAGAAAACCAACACGTATTGGGGTCCCTTTTTGTCTGGAGCAGCGCGATGCCAAACTGGTTCAAAACCAGACCATTTCGCCGGTCGGTAATGCCAAAAAGACTGCTGATCTGCAGAAATTGCTTCACTGTAGCTCGCCGGCCCCCGCCTATGTCAACTGTGGCACCTGTCCGCAATTCAAGCCGAAAGCGTCTACAGTACCTGCTAGAGAATAGGAATTGGAGCGTGCTGCCTATGTCGCAACATAACTTGCCAATAAGTCAGAACGAAATTGGAGACGCAAAGCGAAAACGCAAGAAAGCTGGTGAGCAGACCAGAAACTACTACAAAACAGCACACAAATCAAACATAGCAATAAACCAGCTAAAAGCTAAGCAAAAACAATCTGACAACGCAGCTTCCAAAGTAGCTAATCGACTGAGAGGCTAGAGAAACATTTGGCTTACCTTTAGCTGGCCGGCCGGCTAGCGAAGTGACTACCTTCGGCCCCTTCGTCAAGATGCAAAGGGCGACCCTTGTAGATGATGATGCCCTTCAGCTCCTCGCCTGCCCCTCCTGCAGAATTTCAGACGCTGCCACCAACTCATGAGGAACACGGGAATTTTATCAACAGCAAAAAGGCGGATCGCTGATTCACCTCAAGCAAGGCGGGTGTTGCTTGAATGCTTTGAAAGAGGTCAACGGATTCGGCTCCTATGATGGTAGGAAAGCCGCGCAACGCTTGCAGCAGCTTGTTCCGAGCACGCTTCACCTCAGGAGCCAAATGGCCAAAACCTAGCTCGGAGTAATAATACCATGGTATCATGACATCATGATGTCAAAAGAGCGGTCTTCTAAAAGGCACTGCGTGTGTCTGCGTCTGCGAGCTGTGTCTCAGAACTAGGTACGCTGTTGAGACGGTCGCAGGTTTTGACACATTTAAAGATGACATCTACAGAATCTACCTACCAGTATGCTGCCAACGTTGAAGCATCCTATATATATTGTGATTCGGGCACGAGCCTGTGCCCAGGCAATGGGTAAGTTGGGGTAAACGAGCCACAAAAGAAAGGTTCCCCAAAAGCAAACCAATCCCCGGTCCCAAAGATCAGGGTTTCCCACACACCAGAGAACAACAACCAAAAGGGAAACAAACCAAAACAGAAAAGGGTTAACCCGCAACCTTGGTCGACAACAGGCCGCACGACTGGTCCCTACCAACCTGGCGGCGGCCCGAGGTCTCTTTCTCCCCCGAGATGCCGTCGGTCGACGCAGGGGTTCGGCGACGCCCATTCGAGGCGCGACGGAACCCGTAAACTTGAGCCAAAAACACCACAGGTCGGTCACTACCGCGACGTCCCTGATGATGATATTAACCATGGCTAATCACACCCCCCTCGCGAGGAGCCCGTCATATGACGGGTGGAGCGTGCCATTTACTGCTAGGATTTAACTGCGCAAACAGCTGGACACTACCGCCGTCAGCGGTGGAGCAAACCCACAAAGGCAGTTGCGCGACATCCCGGGCATTAAATTCCCGCCACCACCCCGAATTAATCGGGGTAACGCTGTCCAACATACCTTGTGGAAAGGTCCACATGACGACACTAGGTCACAACTGTTTGCATCAACAATGCAAGAAGTTTAATTCTTATCAGAAGCCATGAAATAAAACATAACGTATGTCCATTAGTACCCTCGCCTATCGGCAAGAGGTACTCCTGACCATGCGTACCTGAAAAATGCTTGAATTCCGCAAACCCGGGGAGTAACCCCCCATCAGTTTGCTTTCCCTCTCACTCACACTGCTTCCTGATGAACACGACCAGCAGCCCAGCAGCGGTATGGAGAGACATGATCTCCGCGCCTCAGCGGTTCGGGAGGAACATCACCACCGCCGCACCGCGCCGACCATTGGAGAATGGACGCAAGCCTATCGGCCGCAATCCTCATGACTCAGCCTATCGGCTATCGTCACGTCTCCTCCGGTCACGTCCGCCCCGCGCACGGTCCCTATCACGATCCCTTTCGGATCTCCTGCGATCATCTCGCCTTCGTTCTCGCTCCCGATCGAGTGAATCATCATCACGACGATCACGAGCGTCGTCCCTCCTCCGGTCGCGATCATCCTCGCACCGCGGACGGTATCTGCGCCTTCTCGACTCTCTGGAATCCCTGGTGTCCACGGTCCTACCGGACCTCCGAGAAGGAGTGCGGGAAACGTCCGATTCCCTACGCCTCCTCCCAGAGCGAGAGTTCGTCACGATCTGGTTGAGAGCCTCCAGTGCTGACGCGTCCTCACCATTTCTGATGAAATCCCTGACTTGCTTGTTCAGCACTCTGTTGGTGGAGACTGACAAGAGAGCGTCCACCACCGAACTCTCAGGCAGCACCAGGAAGTGACCCTCCACCGGGCTCGCCGCAGCTCGCTCAGCCGACTGCAACCTGATCTCACCGCCTTCAGGCTTCTTTGCCATTGCCTTGAAGGCCGTCAGAGGCGCTACTGCGTCCTTTACCGAAGACCTACCAAGCGCAGAGTGAAGATCATCCCCACTAGCCTCTCTTGCTGCCGCACCTGGTCTGCTGTCAACGTCATCAGGCCTCGTCGATGCCTCTCGCTTCGTCGACTCCTTCACAGTCTCGTCAGGATCCCAACGGGACTTCCTTTCTCTCTTCTGCCCTTCAGCCGACCCCCGACTACCGCCAGGAGCGTCGTCTCCGCCTACCTTCTCCTTCTTGACCTCAACCTTCGGATCGGCCTGCTTCGTCTCCTTAGCCTCAGCATGGAGCACTCTTCGCCTCAGAAACCGAAGCTGCCTTTCCCTTTGGCTCGGCCTTTGGAACCGGAGTCATTTTAGCCTTCGCACTCGGCCGGGCTCCTTCAACCGCTATCGCGACCCAAGTCTTCTTCGGCTGAGCCGCAGTTGCATCAACCTCCATCGGAGCCGGCCCAGCATCAGCCTTTGCTTTTGCCTGTGGGACAGATGGACTATCGCCCTTACCAGATCCTTTTCCCTGACTTTGGTGGTGGGCCGGAAGGACTACCGCCCTTACCGCCCTTTTCTCCCTTCTTCCCTTTTCCTTTTCCGCCCTTGACGATCGGCTCCTGCTTAGGACCAGGACCCTGCGCAGTATGATGCACCGATTGAAGCCCTTCGATGTTCACGTCCAAAGGCTCCGGTTGACGACCATCAAGAACCGTCCTCACCCTTTCGTCACAAACGTAGACGAATGGGTCACGGAAGGGGGCGGGAGGCTCCGACTGCCCGGCACTGATTGCCTTCTGCACCTTGGCTATCGCCTCCCTCAATCTCTTCTTCTCATCGTATCCTGTCTCCGATACCATGTACTTCCTGAGATCCGCTATCAACGCATGACTGGCCAGGATGTCCACGTCTTTCCGATGGGTCGGATACAATGGAGTCAGATGACCCGCAGAGCCAATCACGTACGCCATCGGGATATAGAAGGACAAATACGTGTCATGACGAGCGAACTTCCTAACGGAAGTCGTCATACGCCTACTTCACTGAGCTGCATGCACCGGGTTGGCTCGGAAGTACTCAGTGACCGAATCAAATCTATCGACTTGATTGGTCTTTATCAGGTGCTTCGCCACCCACTTCTCCACGAATCCATCCGAGGCCGAAATCCCCGACACATAGGAGAATTGGAAGAGCACCTTCGCCAGCTCATCCCACGCCGTACTCCCTTATCCTCACCAAGATAAGGGGGCAGTCTGATGCCGCTCTGCACCGTCATCCTCAGGTCAGACGCCATTGAATAGGAAATCAAGTTCCTCTTGATAACTCCGACCACTTTAGACGGGATCCTCTTGGGCTTGAACTGCCTCATGCTCCTCACCCACTCCGGGATGATGTGGCACCTCTCGAAGTCACTTTCGTCCGCGTTTGGGATGAAGTTCGGGTAGAAGACCGGGAGCGCACACCCAGGGCACAAATGCATCCCATTGGGCGTCATCCTCCGCGCACCTCAAACAGAAGGTGGTGGTCACATTCAACCTGACCTCTTCACGCGATCGCTTGTGCTCCCCCCTATCGGGGGTAAGGTCACCATAGTCCCATGCCCGATGATACACTATCGTGTAGTCATCGTACATGTATGCTGCCTTCCAAGCGCCCATGTGGATCTCGTTCCGAACGGCAAGGGTCTTTCTCCTCGTCAGAAACACGGGTCAACCAACGACCAGTGCACCCGAAGGTCCACGATTACCACCACGTACCTTCCCGAGTAGTTCCGCAGCCTGTCCCTGACGTACCACGATGGCGATACCTTGGCGTTCGGCGCCATGGTTTCCACAATCGGAACCAGGCCCTCATCCTGCCTTCCATCCCCAATGGACTCGTACACATCGGGCCTCGTGATCAATATTTCGATCATGGCCTTTCCGTTTCGCCTCACCTTTTGGAGCTGAACCGCCTTCCTAAAGTCCAAGAACTTCATGACGACGTACCCCACCATAGGGAGTTCATTCCAGTGCATCTTGTACATCAGAGATCCTCCAGGTGCATCTTCTTGGGTGTACACTGTAACTCATGTCACGTCCGATCCGCGTGTACCTAACGGCCACTAACCTAGTGCACTCCCTGAGGAGGACACCATTCCCATCGTACATGATCATGAGCATTGTCTCAGCTTGCCCTACCGGGAAAGCTTTGATCGTCGGAATGAAGAACTTCCACGACATCTCGGCGTTCTCCATGCCCGTGATCTCTCTCAGGAACCAGATGGCCTGGTCACTACTCACCCAGTTTCCAGCCTCACGTCCAGTTTCCCTCAACACCCGTTCCTCGAATAACTCCGAGACTTTCTTCGAGTTGATGACCAGACCTTCAAAGTCGCACGAGAGCAGCTTCATCAACTCCTGAGCCGCCTCCCGCCCTGCAACGGTGCCCGCGGTCTCCTCGTAGTTCGGAACGTACTCGCTCAACCTTGTTTTCGAGGGAATCACAATCTGGCATGTAGCGGCCTCATCAGGAATAACCCCAGTATCCCTTAGATCCGGATTGATCTCCTGCCTATCGGCAAGATAATCTTTCCTTCCGTCCAGGACCACAAGATTGTAGGTCATCTTGCTTGCCGCCTCACTCGTGCGGAACCTTCTGCTTTCATCAACCTGATCGGGAGCAAAGGGTCCACTGGGAGCAGCTGCACTTACCATCGGCGCTCCTCGCCCAGAGCACAGGTGCTTCTTGTGAAAGTTCACCATCTCATTCAGCTGCGGCAGGGCATAAGCTCGATCCTCCAATGATGCACTCTTCATCCCAGCCTCAGTAAGGGGAGCCTCAGGCTTGTCATAACTCGCCTTTCCGCCCCATCTCGCCGCGACCAGCTCAGCAGACTTTGCAGGATCAATCAGATTGCCCGACCATTCGGGCATATCTCCTAGTCAACGTGTCTATCGACGCAGCCAAGTCTTCATCCGTCACGGTGTGAGGGTCGACCTTCTCCCTGTCCTCCTGACCACGTCAGGGAGCCTAAAGTCCCCGCGGATGGCCTCCATCGCGGCCTTCTCAGCTTCCTCAGCCTCCTTTTGCGTGGCCACGGCTCTGGGATCAGGAGCGCTGCCTCAGCTGGCAACGATTTCTCCATATCTATCGGAGTGTTCTTGGGAAGGATCCTTCGATCATCTCCCTCCCCGCTGTACACATAGTCTGGAGCAGTTTTACGGTACTCCTCAAAGGTAGCTCCTTTGAAGTTGGTTATCTCGCTCGGGTCTTTCCCAGCCTCAGTATCCCGAGGCTTGGGCTT